TACGTGAGCGAATAGAACGCAATGGCACAGAGTCTAGCGGGCCCTTTGACGATAGGAATGTTGCATTCGTGGGGTAGTTACCCTGGTCTTTGATGATGGACTCCCGATCTGTGTTCGTGAATGTTTTGTCAACATGACCACCTGAGCTTAGCGTCTCGGATGGTGAAGGTGTGTTGATGGCATCCCGGTTCCCTTGGTGATTTGCCATCCCGTTGGGGCGTTCCCTTGAAGCAGGGCGCGCCGCCGAATGCGTCGATATTCTCAACCGAATCTTCCTAGCGGAAACTGGAGTGCTGCCGCCATCCGACATATTTGTAGTTGGGGGTGGTGTGTTGATAGAGCTGGACTTTGTCACGGCAATGCTTGGTGGGACATCCGCTATCGACTCATGCTCTTCCGCAGATGCACGTGGTGGACTTGCTGTTGTTGTGGCAAAGTCTTTGACCACCTGATGATATCATTTGCTGATGAGAATGTGCTTTTCATCCGAAAGATTGAGGGCGTCCGACAATCGTGACTTACTATATCTTCCAGTTTCTCACTGGGTGATGTGTCAATCTCGCCAACATCGCCAACATGCGAACTCGTCTGAGCCGGAGGTCTCATGTGCGTATGTCCGCCATGGCTCAATTCGAGAAGAACTTGCGCTGCTTCAACCTGCGAATGAATCCCAACTATCAGCTACTGGCATGGTGGCATATCGGTAGTACGCCAGGTCGTACCAAATCATTTCGCTCATCTTCTCCATTCTCATTGATCGTCGGAAGAACAGCGACCGCTATCTGCGGAGAAGGCAGGCGGGATGATGGCGCTGATGAAAGTGGTGATTGTCCGCCAAAAAGCGATTCAATAGTATGGTTCTCCCTACCCGTATCGTTGGAAGGGGAGTCGTGAAGCTCATTGAAATGCGGTGTTCTACTATCATGTCGATGGTAAGATATGACAGAAACGAGGAAAGAAATCACGCTTACTGTCGGTAAGTCTCTGAACTCGAGGTAGCGCCTTTGATACCAAGTTTCGACCAGAAGTCGAGCTGAATGATCTTTTCAGGTACCTTGTATCGTTTGCCGTTGATAAACATGTTCTGATAGGCTATCCGGCGTCGCTCGGCTTCTTCATCAATGACCTCGATAAGACCATTGTTTGGTTGCCAAGGCTGATTCACTGTGACAACTTCTATACCGTTCTTCAGCGTGCGTTTCTTTGGCTTTTGGCAAGGATCGGTTGTGTTTTGGTGTTTCATGGTCAATCAATGGCTCTTCGCTTCTGGTGATGTTCGGCGCACACTCACCAGGACCTGAGCAGCGTGATTTGGACACATCCATTTCCGTTGCGAGGTTGGCATAATTGCTGCTGGTGGATCCAAGCAGTCCAGATGCCAGCTCAGCGGACAATAGTCGCATGTTACTATGCTTCTGCCGATGGCTAAACCTGGAGCCGTATCAGAGCCTGTTGGTGCTGCCGATCCTTTACACTTGTAGCAGAGAATAGTATGACCTTTCGACTTCAACCTGTAGGAATCCCGTTCTTCCGGGAAGCCTGCGCGGCTGTTGAATATTGCTCGATCAGCTGCTCTCGAGCGTGTTCAGTTTTGATCACATACTCGAATTTGACTGGCCTCGCCTCTACAGCTGGGCCGTAAGACCCGTCTGGATTGGTTCGTACTGGAGTGGGAATTTCAAAACGTCAACAGGAGTTGATTGATATCCTGCTTTGCCTGGACTCACTTCCGGCAAAGAATGATCTAATGTCCTCCGGTAGCTGGAACTCCCGAGGATTGCGGTCGTCTAACACTTGCAATAACTGCGCGAACATTCCCGTGTACGGCGAAGAGAAGGATTTGGGCTGATATAGAAATGAAGTATTGCGGTAATCAGACTTCGGTTATCCTTTTCAGTTGGAGAATTCAGCTTACCCTTCTAGCCGCACGACAGGCTTTACAGTACCATTTGTCGTCTTCCGGAAGCTCGTTGATGGTCAGTGGAGGATCCAGACACATAAAGTGGAAAGAGCGAGGACAGCCATCACAACAAAGGAAACTACCGATTCCTTTGCAGGCAGCGCAGTAGTCGTGGTTTGGCTAAGGGGTAGATACGGGTCGTTGTTGGTTATACCACTAGCGATGACGTGTCAGGGAAACATACAATGGTAGCATCAAAGATGTGAGAAGTGTTGGCCTTGGCTTTCCCTTTTCCCTTTTGCACTCGACCAATGGCATACGGCGAAGTGTCTGTGCTGACAAGGCTGTTAGTCCGTTGCGGTATGGAAATGGACGTCCGAGGATGACGAGGATGCAGGGAGTCATCGCCGTTCGAGACTACAGGAGTAGATGCTGGAGCTGGAGACGCCGTGGCTCTGAGGCTGGACATGGACAATTTGATTTTTGGGCCAGCGGAACCTCCTGGGCTGCTGAACGGGTTGAATGGTGGCTGCGTCACCTGAACCGCAGGTGCTTGAGCGGATGTTGTGCCCACATTTCGTATAGCGTTGTAGAAGCTAGGCGAAGGCGGTCGATCAAAGATAGCCAAAGCGGCTGATGGAGGAGGTCGGAACACGTTGTGAGGAGTTCCGGAGTGATTGCCCTGTGGGATCGTTGACTGATTCGCCGGTCTTGACGAGAACCCTTGTAATGCAGAACCATAAGTTGGCGGTGGAGCTAAGGGAGTAGAGGGAGGGCCATTGTCCTGGCCAACCGAAGGACTTGTATCTCGTTCAGCTCTGAACGCGGACGCGTTCGACCTGCGAAGCCAAAGGCATGTCAACGACTAGTTCTCCTATCGACATCATACACTGTGCTCACGAATGAAAGTCGATAGTCTGCCCATCCATTGACTCGTCATCCACGGACAGCGGTGAAGAGGCACGAGACATCTCTACATCCTCTTTGGGCTCGTCCCGTTTCGATCTCGCGCGTTTCGCTGGTCGTAGCTCCATATCTGGCTCCGTGAGTTCGCTGACTGATGTCGCCCTTGATGCCGATTGAGGCTCGCCGTTGACACCGTTCTGATCTAATTTTCCAGCTGCTTCACTCTCGACCATTGGCGTATCCTCTGTTGAAGCTCGAGATCTGGTGAACTGTCTCCGAGTATGGGAATGTGTAGGTTTATTGTCCATCTTGGCTGAGAAATCTGATATTTCATCAGCCGTTTCCTCCGCATGACTGGACCGCCGTCCGCTTTTATGCTTGTTGACCATGCTGTAACACCTCGGCCGGATCACTGCATCACAGATGGAAAATATGGCTCGACGTATGTGTCAACGACTAGGGTGAAACGTGTATCAATATCAGCAAATGTGCCTGCAATCGGTCGCAGGGGCGCCGTTAAGCATAGATATACAGCTAAACTCACCAGTGATTTGGAGGAGACGCCGACTGATGCCGTGACGGGTTGAGTGTCGGAAATGGAATAGGTAGCACTAGAGGAGGAGCGTGAAGATGAAGGGTAATTGCAGTTGAGGGTTTGCAATAGGCAATATCATGTCGCTGGCTGAAAGGCAGGAGTGCCGATCGCAGAACCGCTGAATGCCTCGCTGCGCGCTCGAGTTGGTTGCCTATTATCATACCCATTCTCTATAGTCGTGCGCTCGGCTCTTGTCGTACACGCCCTTTTTAGCTGGGGTGGGGAAGGCTGGTGTTAATCTCCTTAGGGTAATACGGTGCTTGGTGGTAGTCAAGGCTCGTCCATCCGCCGAGTAAAGCATCGAGCGATGGATTTTATATGACAGGCGCTTTTTCCTGTCACGTTGCCATCTCCAATCAGTGGGCTCACAGCTGGTCCCTTCGTTCTGTCTCCTCGCTCAAGTTACATATTCATATCAAGAGGTCCATCTTCTTCGACTTAGAAATATGCCTCCGTATACTGGATTGTCCATAGAACCTCTGGTACGACTAGTGGTCAGTACGAAACGTATCAGAACATTGGCAAGCGCATGACGATCCCCTAGGGCAGCCACTTCGGGGCATGTTATCACTATTTCAAACGAGAGCTTCTCCTCGTGTCGTCCATTGAGGAGCCTTTGCGTTCGACTTGTATACGTTGTGACGTGGTCTTTGAATGGATCACCTTTGAAAGAACGCCACCTTCGACGCCAACGGAAACCAAACGGAAACCATTTCAAATCTGGAGACCGCCCGCAATTGCTGGAATTTATTCCTTGGTATCTCATCGATGTATCCATGAGCACATAGTGGCGGAGACAGGGAAGGAGGACGACCTGGGGTAAAGAAGGTCCAGAGCGACTGCTGACTGCAAGCAGAATTGAGTGAAGATGATATGCGGTGGGCAGAGCGACAGGTACGGTAGCACCTGGGATGTACTTCCAGAAACACAGTCGCACACCATCATCGAGAGGTGTATCGACTTGGCATGATGTTGCATTCGCCTCGAGTGTAAATCAAGGAGGCTATATAATAGCGGACGAGATCAGATCAGTCTTGGCCTGCGATCCTTCTGGAGGCGCGCGCCTTTTCACAAGGCCAGTCTCCCTTTTGCTCGTCCCTATCTCTTACGGTGGCACTCTCACAGTCCCGCTGAGTCTCCGCCATGGCACTTGACGTTGCGATGGCCGTCGACTGCAGATCTGGAGGGACTATGTCGCGATAGAAAGAGCATTTCTGCAAGAATGGCGCTAATCTTTTTGAATTTCACGGGAAGCGTCCATCTGGTCGGAAAGGCGTGAAGAGTCGATGGTGGATAAAGGGTTGAAATAAAGAGGCAATGGCTTACCATTGTTGCAAGGCTCCATGCTCGAGATACAACCCGCCTATCAAGTTTCGATCCTCCAACAACGGGTCCGTCCATCGAGCTGTTCGTTGCAAATTCATCAGCCATGAGCCGAAAGCTACGGCTATCCAGCTAGGCGAGACCACATAGCCCCGTTGTCTGCATTGTCCAGCAGTCAATTGACAAGCCCAAAAACATAGGAGCCAGAGGCGTTGTGCTGTCGGAGGTCGAAGGCTGGAGGACATAGGGACAGGCAAAAAAAACTGTAAAAACTTGCGACGCCTGTGCGATTCGAACACACGCGGTCAAAGACCATACCCTGTGCTGAGCTTGAAAGCTGAATAGCAGGGGCACCCGTTAACCACTCCGGCAAAGCGCCTTAGATGGTTGTCGAGCCGTGCTGATGAGTTATGACAGGCGGCAGCTACAGGCTCCGGCTGAAGCCCCTTTCTTTTGACACGTCACAAAACGCGGGATGCTGTCGATGTTTCGCGAACGGTGCAGGCAGAATCCACGTTTTCCGCTGCTGGAGCTGCTGCTTGTGCCTGTTTGCACTCCTGTCGTTGACGAACTAGCTGTCAGTGCAGTGGCCAATGTTAAACGTTCATCAGTGATAATAATCACCTGCTAGAGCTATCGGTCTACTTCTCCACCCATATCCTTTCATACTCCCAAAATGTCTACCGAACAAACCTACATCATGGTCAAGGTATGCAGGATTTGCAATTCTTCCTACGGAAGAGTGTTACTGACTTGCTGGTCTTTTTCTCCGTGGTCTCCTAGCCTGACGGTGTCCAGCGAGGACTCGTCGGTGAAATCATCGGCCGATTCGAGAAGCGAGGTTACAAGGTACTTGATTTCCCTAATGTTCATAAGTCATAGGTCAGCGGACTGACGCTTTATCCCTTGGCCCTGAACAGCTCGTCGGCTTGAAAATGTGTGCCCCTGGTCAGCAGCACTTGGAGCAGCACTACGAGGACTTGAAGGAAAAGTCCTTCTTCCCCGGTTTGATCAAGTACATGAACTCTGGCCCCGTTGTCGGTATGGTCTGGGAAGGTTTGGACGCCGTCAAGACCGGTCGATCCATCTTGGGTGCCACCAACCCCTTGCAGTCTGCCCCCGGTACCATCCGAGGTGACTTCGCTCTCGCCGTCGGCCGAAACGTCTGTCACGGTTCCGACACGTAAGTACCGAGACTAAAGTCGACATACAGCATTTAGCTAAATGAGCGCGACTTTTCCCCATAGCGTCGAGAACGCCCAGAAGGAAATCGACCTCTGGTTCGGTAAGGAAGGTGGTGTCACCAAGTGGGCGTAAGTGACAACTTGCTTTTACTAATTCTTGCCACCAGATACTGACTTTCGCTCGTTGTTAGCCACCACTCCGACGCCTGGGTCCACGAGAAGTAAATTCATTCATATCAGTCGAATAGCAGCTTGTGCCTTGTAAGGTAATCGGCTCTGGCTTTTGACTTGTATAATGTTACACTTCCGATGACATTAGTGTCACCTCCACTACACTGGCTTATTGGCTCGAGCACTTTGATTTTCAAGGATGCATCACCGTTTATCAAATACAACGCTACTATGACTCTAGAACCTCCGAATACCCTCACCGCCTCCGACCATCTTGCGTGAAATTTCTTTTTGTTCCGCTGTGCTTTCCGTATACCCCTTAGTGCCTTCCGTATTCTGGTCCCAGCCGTACTTGTCTCCTAGGAACCGTGCCAGCCAACAGATCTCCTCCCAACATTTCCGATCAATCTCCCCCACACCGCCATCTTCTTGGCCGCGCAGTCTCCTCTGCTCTTCCTCCAGTTCGGCCTCTGTTGGAGCCGACTCCGGCCACTTGATGTTTTTATCGCCGTATTGCTTTCTCAAGAAAGACGGCTGAAGAGACCGTCTCGAAAGACCCACTTGGTCAATGAGCTTGAAAGCCATTGCATGTGCCGGTTGGTTTGAGGGGTTGCTCCCTTGGTAGAGAGGGCATTGTGCCAAAATCTCTTCGTCTATGCCATTGGTCCATGCTTTAGAATTGCAGAGATCACCTTCATACCGATGAAGAATGCTATGTAGCCATTGTCTAAGGTTTCAATGCGTAGAGTTAGCGATGTGAGGTTCTGGAGCGATGTACATCCTCTTACCCCCAAGGATCGTTCTGCATTTTCCTGGCCAGGAAATGCGCCGAGTACAGGTCACCATTCAAGAGATGACATGCGACCTCTACAGCGGGATGGAACAGCGCATTGGCGATTTGGGAAGCGGTATCTGGATGGAAACCCTTCTTTGCTTGGACGTGCCCCGGGATGATGCAGGGCAAGGGATTCCCTTGTAAAAGACTGGTAACGAAATGTGGCGTCGACATGTTGTGCCCTAATGATACCGGAATCGAGTCAGGACACGGGATCTGGCGCTGTATATGAATACTTCACCACGGCGGTCGAAGAGCAGGTTGAAGGTAGGTTGGATAGAACTGGTGGTAGATCAATAGATCGTGACTTAACTTCGATCGTTCCGTGAACCATATGACGTCAGGGCGGTACACCTCTTCGACCTTCTTCGACCATCTTCACAAGTGTCAAGTGTTTTACTACGGTTGGTCGGGATGGTTCCCCCTGAAAGACACGATATCCGAATAGAGAATGCGATCTTTCAAACATGCACAGGTGCACCTTCGAACGCCTACAGCACGGAGTACAACTACAGGTCTGTTTCCTGCCTCTCTGCAAAATGCGAGGACCGCCATGATACAACCCAATTCATCCACCAACCCCTCCGACTTCGATACTTGGCTCAATGGGAGACAACAAGTGCAGGAAACTTCTCTCGTCGACCACTCGTTTATTCCTTGTTCTGCTTCTTGGCGTGAGCTTGAAGTGCCAGTTGCTTCCTCTTGATCAGAACAGTCATAAAGGTCTAAAATTTCATAGAGAGAGGTCACATCAGCTACTAGCAAAGTCTTTAGAGGCAACAGCCACACTTACACCCATGGTGAAGCTGTGAGACGAAAGATCAAGAATGCAATCAGAATCGACAAGGAGACGCTGTGTAACTGTTCACATACCTGACCAAGTTGAACCAGACAACCCAGGTCTCCGCCGGGAGGAACTTCTGGGCAAAGGCAATGGCGATGGGGCTGGAAATCCACATGGACTAGAAGGGAAAGCATCGGGATTTAACCGAGCAGCGGAAGGCATGATGCGCAATGGCTTACCTTCAAGATGCTAAAGTATCCAGCCTGTACCGTCTTCTTGATAGCCTCAGTAGATCGCGCTCCGTTGATTACGGCCATGGAGGAGATGTAAGCCAAAGCAGTGATGGGTGACTACGAGTGAAATAAAATACAGACACATGGTCGGTCAGGTGTTTACGGAAAGGAGTCGCGAAGTCAATATCGATAGTACTCACCTGAATCAACTGCATTGCGATAATCTGCAAGATCTTTGATAAGGCATCGGTCTTTCCGGCAAAGATTTTCTGGAAGAAGCTAGATAAGGACAACAGACCTGCGTCAGGGACGCGCTCTCTACTCCCGAACCAGGATAACGGCGGACATGTTCACGTACTTGACGAAGAAGTGGGACAACGGAGCTGAGATCAAGGCACCGTATGCTGCCATCTATTATCGAGCAAGTCAGTACCATTCCCACACCATATGAAGCAGCTACCGCATCCACTCACCTGGAAATTCTTCTCTCCTACTCCTAATTCCCTCAACAGACCCCATACTTGAATAGGAACGTATTTTCGGGTTGCGGTTCCTTTGGCGGGCAAAGCAGGTTTAGGGCTACCACTCAGTCGGCTCGAGAGTGTCTCTTGGATGAACAGGAGAGTAGCAGAGGTAATGCACTTGGTTCGGAGAGGTCGAGCGGCGAGTGCTGTCAGGTATCGAGCGAGAAGTCGGTACAAAACAAGCTTGGCGGAGGACACGCCGGAAGGTTTATCGGAGGCAGCGAGGACAGTCATTTTTGCTTCGGTTGGTGGTCAGGCACTAGCAATGGGATGAGGGAGCTGATGAGGGGAACTGGTGAGTTGACTATCTAGACACGATCTTGCGAGTGTTGTTGAAAGTCGTTGCGTGCGTTATCGACAGTATTGCCCCACAACCGGTAACAGCGGAGAAGAATGTCCGGCTCGGGATTATAACCGAGCGCAGTTTCTGTACAGCAGCTCACAGTACTCCGTACACAGGTTCAAATCGTCCCAACAATGTCTCCCTTAGACAGCTTTCTCTCCTCTACGCCCGTCGCACATGCCATGTCCTCACCAGCTCATTCACGCGAATCATCATCTGCCTGCGATGTCGCTTAATAATGAGCTTTCCGAAGGAGGTTTCGGACGCGCGCACAAAACGCACAATGGCAAGGACAAGGAGCAGAACAGTCAAGGTCGAGGTTGTACTTTCGTCAAGGCAATATCACAGATTCGATACCATACAAATGCATACTTCGCGACGCGGCTGCCTTTACTTCAAAAGCGATTACGCCGTTCTTTCGTTCTTAATATCGTACAGTCCGAATGCTCCTCTCATCTGCAGCGGGTTCGATAGGCGCGGGTACCAAGAAACCTTTCTACCTCATACATTATTGGACACCATCTTCCGCACTTCCTGCAGGTCGTACACGGGCAAATGACAGGCGCCGTTCTCACATAGACGTACACTCGGTCGACCATCTCCCTTCTGCTTCAAATCTTCCACTAGCGACTGAATAACGGGGTTTCTGCTGGCCAACTCGAGGGGAGGAGATGCGGGATCGATAGACATGATGATCTTGTTGGGAATATAAGTGGACGCGAGGATGATTCGGCGGGTTTCCTTGACGAAGTCGTTATCGCATGGTCCAATAACAATGTACTGCGACGCGAACAACAGAATGAGTATCATGGCACCGTTCTTTCTCGCGATGGAACTTACTTCGCGATAACCTTGTTCTTTGTCCATCAATGCCGCAACAGTAGTCGCGAATGCGTAAGGTGCACGCTTCAGCATAGCTGCGTTGCTTCTGTAAGTGGACGATGTACGTTCCTCATACTGTTCTGCATTGGCAGAAGCATAACCGGCGAGTCGCTGTAAGTTGTGAGCGGTTACCGAACTAGCTGCCGGCTCCGCACCATCCTGGTTGTCCCGAATTCGGATAAGAATATGTGGATCAGGGGCAGAAGCGAAGTATCCGCCTTGTTCGTTGTCGTAAAAATCGGTGTCCAAGGCTTCTTGCAGTTTGATAGCAAAGGCAAGATGCTCTTCGATTCCGGTGACTTCGTACAAATCGAGTAGCCCTTTGATGAGGAAGGCGTAGTCATCTGCTTGGCCAACTGGACCTTTTCCTTCTCGCCAGCTTCGTGTCAGCTTGCCGGTATCGGCGTCGTATAAGTTGGTCTT